TTTTTTGATGGTGCCATTGCTTATTTACATTGAAACAGCGAATAAGATTGTTGCTAATCTAGAGAACTTAGCTTCGCAACATCAAAGATAACGCCTTCATTTATTATTGCGAATTAAAATCATGCTTAATCCTTTCTGGTATTATTCATAAATAAGTGCTAAAGTTTACTCGTAATTTTAATACAGAAATTTCCAGTTTTTATGTATTTTTCCTTGTCCGGAAGTAGAACTGAATTAATTGAATGAGAAATACTGAATCGTCTTGAAAAACTGGTTTTGTTTGTTGCTTAATTCTTTTTATACATGGTCTACCTATTATAGTATTGAATAGAAATGTGGCAAGAAGATAATTCTTTAAATGATATAAAATTTTGTGATTCTGAGTTATAATATGAATATCGAATATCTGTAAAAAGACAAGCCAAGCATATCGTATTATGCACTCATGGGAAAATTCTAAATGTCTCGCTACAAAAAGAGTTATTTATCTACAAGCTATTCGCCCGATTTTACTGTATGCTTCCCCAGCGTGGGCTGCAACTGCACTCATCGCGAAAAAATACAAAGAATTTAAAACAAGGCCATCTGAATAATTAGAAATGCGCCTTGGTTTGTACGAAACAGCACTCTTCACAATGACTTAAAAACTAAACCCACGGATTCTGAAATTCTAAATGCTTCTCATAACTTTTTTTATGAAATGGGACAGTCATCCTAAGAATATCATCAAAAAACTAGGAAATTATGATTTCGCAATTGAAAAACGTCACAAGAGGCCTCACACTATTCACCATAATAGTCGGTGGTAATGTATATATTTTCGTTTTCTTCTTATTTAGCCAAGGTTTTACTTCATTTTTTTTTTTTTTTTACTTATAGATTTACTTATCAAATTACAATGCGCTATGGACTTTGTTCTGCAAAGCAGTAGACTTTGTATGTAAATAGTTTTACGCTGGAAACGTTTCAATGTACCAAATTGTTTTTTCACATTTTCACTTTGCAATTATGCTTTATCAGAAGAATAATTTTTATGAAATTTAAAAATGCCTTACATCATCCGCAAGAGATGGCGCAACCAGAGCTCCAGTCAACTAAAAGCTTTCATCCTACTAATGATAGCGCCACACGACGCCCTCATTTGTTCAAAGTTCACTTATTCTACGAACGGCGGCACAGGAGCCTCCGTCGTAGTAATCTCTGGTTCTAGCACAGCATGTGATAAGTACTTCATATTATTGGATACAACTTACTCGATTCCTCAAGCATTTAAAAGTAAGTATAATATTGTTAAAGGCCGTAATGGTTTATTGTCTTACTAGTGATAAGAATAGACATAGTTATAATAGGACGAAATATAGTATGTAAGTGAACCTAGCGCCAGAGTGTCCATGGTAAAACAAATAGATTAATTTTAAAAATCATTTATTCTTTCTGTTTGCTCTGTCGCGAAATAGATTTAATTCAATCAATAAGTTAAATGAAATGCAAGAAAAAATGCGTATAATTTAATCCGGCAAGGAAGTTCATGTGGTGTACACATCAGATTTTTTTAATATTAACGTATTGGTGTTTTATTCTTTCTATATTTTTCAATTTTTAATGAAGGTATTCTGAGGCTTTATGTATTTTTGCCTTGTCGCGAATTGAGAACATAATTTATTGAATGAGAAATATATCCCTAATGAAATTCGATGAAATAAGTGTTTCGTATTAGCAGCAAATAATGTCGCCAGTCTGTCTCGCAAGGAGGAGAATGTTTAGTAGCGCATGCGCATTAGCTACGTGACGCTGAATCGTCTGTGAAAAACTGTTTCTTTTTTATTTGTTTAATTTCTTTTATACCTCGCTTTAGATTTATTACAGTATTTGAATAGAATATGTGGACGATTAGATAATTCTTGAATACTAATTTTTGTGCATTCTGAGTTATAAAATAGAGACATGAACGCTTTAAGTGAACTAGCGTAGAGTGTGCTATGGTAAAAAATAGAGTGAATTATAAAGAGTGCAGTTATTCTGTTGTGGTTTATGCGCTATCGACGAAGTAGATTTAATTCAATTCAATAAGTTTAAATGAAATGCAGGAAAAATACGTATAGTTTAACATTCCGTACAAGAAAGTCATGTGGTGTATACATCAGATTTTTTAATTTTAAAATTTGATATTTTATACTTAATTCTTGCTTTAAGAAAAAGTGATAGGTTTTAAAACTTAACTATTTTACTTCAATGTTTTACATTTTTCAGATACTCCTCGATGCCATTCCGTTCGAAGCAGTGTCTACGGAGTTGGGCGGACCGAATCTGTATCTGTGGTTTGCGAAGTGGATGCCAGTCCCACCCCTGTTACTTTTCTTTGGGCTCTTGATGGTGCTAAGATCTTAGGGAAAGAGCAATATGCAAGTAATGGTACCCGGAGTATAGCTACTATATCACCCAGATCTCCTCAAGACTATGGCCTTCTCATGTGCTGGGCCACAAATTCTATTGGTCGACAAAAGGAACCATGCACATTTAGAATTGTGCCAGCAGGTACTAATGATTCCAAAAGTTTTATCTTTTGAACCATGTTAAGAATCAAACCAAAGTTTCCTTTCATTTCGATATTGCAAAGGTGCAATTTACTTCCCATTTTTGCAATATACAGTTATTATAAACGTCATTTTAGTTTTCAGAGATATTTAGCATTATTTGATGCAGTGTATTTTTTTTAGATCTAAGAAGACTTAAATTTTTTTTTAGTACAAATTAAAGAGAATTTTTTCTTTAATTAACGTAATTTCAGTTTATGAATGGTTTTGCAAGAAATCTATATTTTAGTAAAGCATAACTAAACAATATAACTAAATCATACCATGTATATGACTCAAATCTTCTCAAACCATAAATTTAAAACCTACTTATAAACTCTGTACTATAATAGAAATTAGATTCAGTTTTAATTCTTTTCGGTTCTACTTTATAGGTCCTCCCGAAGAACCCAAAAGCTGCGTTATTTCCAACCGTACCCTGAAATGTATCGTTTTAGAATGCGAAGGTGGACAAGATGGAGGTTCACAGCAACTCTTCCAACTAGAAGTATTTGGAACTGATTCTGATAAATTCTTGGCTAATGTCACATCTCACGGTGCTCCTGTCTTCAATGTCTGTTCCCTTCCTCCAAAAGAATCCCTTGTATTGATTGTTTATGCTATAAACTCCAAAGGACGAAGCAAACAAATTGCAATACATGCTATTAGCTCCGATTCAGAAAATGGTAATTCTATTTTGAGTAGTTATTCTTAAAATAATTTCTTAATTCTGTAATTACCTTTTTATGATATTACTCATAACCTTATAATATAAAGGATGATTCAAAATTAGGTGAACCAACTTCTAGAAGAGGTAGGGTACACCTAGACGACTCGGAATCTCATAGCAATGGAGTCGAAAATGCAATCATAATAAGATAGGGGTTTGGTAGGGGCTATCGCAGAGAAACCGTCGACAGCCATCCGCAAAGGTACTAAGATGGAAAATATGAAGATAACATGATCGCAAACTGATATTTAAAGACCATCTAAAGACTTAAAATAAGGCATGACTTTTCTGATAATGAAGTTGCCCGAAGTTTCGAAACGTGGACACTGCCTGGAATTTTGGACGTCTCGAAGTACGCTGGGCATCCGGAAGTTTGCCGTAGCCATGAAGATGCGCTATTTAAAACCCCTACTGCATTTCGAAACGTCCTAGATTTCATGCCTTACGCCACGTTACGAAATGTCGGAGATCTTCATCATCAAGAAAGTCATTATTTTTATGGTGTTTAAATTTCAGTTTGAGATTACGATGTATTCATGTTTTCCCTTCTAACACCTCTTTGTGCGGCTGTCGAAAAGTCTCGAATCCCTATTTCGTTAAGACTACCCTTAATCCCTATCTCGATCTCCGACAGCCCCTAATCCATATATCCTTAAGACTACATTTCCGGCTCAGCAATGCTATGCGATTCCAAATCGTTTAAAAGTGTACACTACCCCTCCTAGAAGTTAGTTGCTGTAGTTTTGAATCACCCTCTCATCAAAACCTTTATTCAAACGTCTATATTTTTTTTATTAATTTTAGCCTCAGAAGTAAATTACAGAAAGTTCTTCATTTTAAAATCATAAGAGCCACAGAACATCCATTAAATTAAAAGCTTATAAGTGGGAATGCCAATGAAAATACTATAAACTATTCAGAACCAACGTTTAGCTCGTGAACTAGACGAACGATTTCATAAAAATGCAAATCCTCTGTATATTGGAAGCGAAGGTTTATAAACAATAATTTGATGATCTATAAGCGTGCATTCCATGTTTAGCAACGTATATAAGATTTAATTCAACTCTTAACCGTTATCGATATTTTGAATGTGCAACATGCATGCATTCAGTTATATTCAATTTTTTGTGGATGGATTGAATAGAATGTTCTGCGGAGAAACCAAGTTTTATAAGTGAATATGTAGATTGTTGGGAAGAAAACGATATAAGCTTATTTATTTAAATATTGGTTTTGGACATATATTTCCAGATACGTTCTTATAGGTTCTTATAGAAAGTATGGAACTGTTTTTCAAAAATAAAGTCTCATTTTTTTGTGATTGTAAAGGACAAAAATTCTGATATATATGCACGTAAAATTGTGTATTTATGTAAGCCAAGCTGCATGTTGCAAAGTTTTTCTATTTCTTTTAAGCTGTAAAGCCAGGCTGAACTTGCCGTAAATTCTATTTATTGTAATACAACTGCTTAAGATAATTTCAGCTATAAAACATCGCTGATGAGATATTTCGCCAAAAGATTCGATAAGTGTTGAGATACAGCTAGGAAGACAAGCTTCTATCAGTATCTTTTATGTTTCAGGTTTGCGTAATAAGAGTAGTTAAAAAAGAATAGAGATATTTAAAAATAATAAATAAGAGTAGTTAAAATAATGCAAGTTATATTTTTCAACTACCAAGAAAACCATTAAGAGTTTTAAGGCAACAATTCTAAATAATAATCTGACTTTTTGTTTCTCTATATCTTTGAAAAATTCTATAGTTGTAAATTATTGGCAATCATATAAGAATGACAAGGACAAACGTTATATATACTGAAGTTGTAATATCTCATTGAAATAATAGCAAATTTATTTTAAAATGTTACTTTCTAATGTGTTTCCGGCTTTTATAATCATAAATTTTAAAGCACTTAAGTGAGCATTTATTGTTCACAGTTGCATTAAAACTTTTTATAGTTTGATTAGAAACGTCCTTTTGCAATTTTTAAATGAAAGACAAATTGTAAATAGAGAATAAAAGAATTTTTTAAATAAAAGAATAAAATTTCAGCCCTTCTGAGGCTGAAATTTTTATGGATTAAACCTGCTTTAGAGGTAAACACTCTTATCTGGAAAATTAGTAAAAACTATCCGTCCGAATTTAAGCTAAAAAAATAACATTCAGTTTAAGAGAAGTTCATTCCTTTTTTTTTTTTCAACTTCTTAAAAGAAACATATTTTAATTCATACTTTTATTTTACATGGAATCAATAAGTTTATTTGATCTCATATATACTATTTTATTACCTTAAATGTTTCCAACAAGTTTATTTGATCTCATATATACTATTTTATTACCTTAAATGTTTCCAACAATGTTACAAAGGCTAACTTCCCGCTAGAAATCTAAGATATCAAAGTTCATGGGGAGAAACACTATTTCTGTGCTTCAGGAAAACAGTAGTTAATTTTTGATAGTTTCCTAATTTGAATTTGAGTGGTTCCTCTTTTGAATATGGAGCTGATTGGTATTTAATTAAATGTACTTTTCGCAGCCCTCACCCGTTTGCAATCGGATTGCATCTTGACTATGTGTAATTTTGGTATATGATCCTTCCTATAACTCAAAAGTTTTCAAGTCCTGAATTTATTGTGCATTCAAGTTCATGAATGCACAATAAATTCAGGACTTAGCTCGTGTCTGCCTGTCCTTGGATAAGCATATATCCAAATCAAGTCTGGCTTATAGTTAATTGTCTTAACACGAATGCAAGTATCTGAATTTTTGGTAGTTAACTGCTCCTGCTTTAACTTAAAATAAATTTCAGATGTGAAAATATTTGCTCGCCTTCATAAGTTGAAACGAATGCAGACAAATTGGCAAAGCCAATGTTTGGAATTAAGGATCGGCGATGTGAAACTTATCAATTTCTCCATGGAATTATGTTATAATTTTTTATTTTATTTAAATATAAATGCGTATTCATTACTGCACATTTTTAATCAAACAAAAATCTTATTGTTATTATTTTTTTCTGTTTATTTTTCGTGTATTCTTCAATTGCTCGTTTCATGTTAGTTATAGTTTATTTTTATGTATTACACTTTATTTTTGGAGCTCAAGTAGGTCACTTAATTATAAAATTTGTCACTGGGTGACCTGTGGATCATAGGTTGCCGAGGCCTGCAATAAAGTCTAAGTAGCACATGGCCTTCTTTAGACCAATCTTCCATTTTGCTTCGCTTTGGATTGGGCTAAATTTTTCCTAGTTCTTTATTTTAATAGCGCTGAAATTAATTTCGATGTAATCGAAACATTGAAATATCGTTCTTTCTGTCACTCCTTTTACGTTAGTTTATAGGTTTATAGCTAAAAATTTCAGATTTTAAGGAAGAATTCACGTGGTAAATATGACCAGCAAATACTGATTCTAGTTTCTATTATGCCGCTGTGATTCGAATGTGAATGAATTTTCTTTTCATCCTGAATTTGAGCGTTATGTAATCCTGTGTACCTTTGTCAAAATGCTTATTAATCTTTATCGTTTTCTATGAGAAACCATGGACATAAGAATAAGCAGTAATCACAGCACCCTGGAAAACCCATGGAAATGCATTTGCATGACAATGGATTACAATCATAATTTTTTTAATTTGTTAATGTAAACTTGTCAGCGCACTAGCCTTGTGGTTCATGTTTTTAGTGATTCATCGTTTCTAAACAAGGAAGTAAGACAGCAGAAAGCTACAAAACCTAATGCTGCAAAACAAGTCCATTAAAATGCAAAATGACTCTCACGAGAAAACACTGCATGCATTTTTTATTTTTAACTGAAATATTAGGACATCTTTCCTCCAGATGATAAACTAAGCCTCATAAAATGTCATGCTCAGCAACTGCACCAAGTCGTTAATTATTACTTGACATTTTTCTTTTTTTTTTCCCACTTTACCTTCTCGACCTAAATCATCTTTCTTCAGCTGAAATATAAGGATCGATTTTGTTATCCTCAGTATTCTTATTATTTTACATTCATTTACTTATTTTCTTTGGTATGAGGTTTCTCTCGTTATTTATGAATCTATTCTAGTTTTCGGGATACATTTCTGAGATTTTCAACCTAGGTATACTATAATATCTTGGCTTCCTTCAGCAGACTCCTGAACTGATATGAATGAAAGATATCTAAACAATATGATATAAGAAGCAGCGAAGTAATTCTTAAGCAGAATATTTTTGATCAAAAGAGAGATGGCTTAATGCATCCTCAGTCCCCTGTGAGCAGTCATGACTCAAGAGATAATGTCACAGCGTAAGCGAAAAGAAATGAAGAAAAATTGAAAGAACAGACAAAATAGTAATATCTTATATTAGGGTAATATTTGAATTGTTTATTTAGATGTTCGTTGTAGTTTTCGAGCTATATTCCATAATTTAATGAATCGTGTAGGATTTTGCCTAGGAAAAATGAATTTGTTTTCTTTGGGTACCTAGACAATTGCTCAAGATGGAAATGTGTGATTAAATGCATAAGTAATTTGGAGGTGATTGTTGCTTCATATTGTTCAATAGTTTCTCTTTTATAACATTTAGCACTACTTGCGTTACATAGATTACTGTTATTACTCCAATACAAATGTATCTTTTAATTGTATAAGGAAACTCATATGCATGAGAATGGCCAGGATAGTAAGGTTAACCACATTTTTATTCATAAGATCAACAGATCCTGATTCCATCAGTTTAACAGCATGCTTTAGCATGAAAATTTCCTCTATGCAAGCACTCGCTTCACATATATTGCGTTGTTATCAATGAAACTACCTTTGAATGACATCAGGTTTCTACTTCTCACCTAAGAAAGCAAGAAAGCAATGAAATCAGTGTAAAATTTTACGTTATGTAATAGCGTCATGCACGTGGGTGATGCAATTTTAGAATTTTTTTTAACGAGCATTAAACATTTAACA